TATATATATGACACCATTTTGGTAGAACAAGATATAAGCACCAGTTCTCTTATCCTGTTCATGCTACACTGGAACAGTTCTGGAGTTACCTCAAGAACATGAAACAATTTGCATGCAATTTTGAAAATACCTGCAACAAAGAGCCTATCACAAGTGGTACCATTTTGTCACTTCTACATCCAGTTTGAGAGTAACAACTGTTATCTTTGATTTTTTTCTGTTCTCTCAGCATATGAAAATCCCAAGGATCAGAATGAGACAGAATTAATGATGGGAAATGTATCACTATTTCAGTAAAACAGAAATTCTAAAAGTATATACTGCCACATATTTCTAGGCAGTGATATATTACCACCCCAGTAACACACCAGTTTGACTCTGCTTCCTGGCAGCCCACCTCAGTGGCTTTTATCCAGTGGCTAAGACTAAAATTCTTACCACATTAGATGCTCCTCAGATGTATATATTAACCTGCAAGAAGCCTGTGTTGGAGTTCCCCTCTAATTCAGTGGTATTAGATCCTTCTGCTTGCAGGCTAAACACACTCAGGATGGTTCTAGAATGCTCCACATCATCAGATCTCTTTGAACCACTGTCAACTCTTGCCTCTCCCAGATGTGAGATATAATCACTGCTATTCACTGCCTTGTCATCACTCACTTCTCCTCTGCCTTACCCACAGTTTTGCCCCTTCTTTCCAGCAAAATGGTGAAGGCAGGACAAAGGTGATGCATTCATCCCAGGTGAGGTGAGGGCACAAGGTGGGGGAGCAGTACTGGAGGGAGGAAGGGTTAAGCAGCAGGACAGGAACCCAGTACCAGCTGTTTTCCTAACAGAGGGGAGGTTGCCCATAGCAATCATCAGCAGCTGTGCAGAGCGGATGTGCAGCAGGTGACCAAGAGGGAAAGGTGGAGGGGCGGGCTGAGAGGGGAACCATGACAGCACAAGTTCACTGTAGGTGTGGCAGCTCACAATTTAACTCAGCTGTGCCAAACAACTGGCACTCTGACAGACATTGTTTTGGATATGAGGTTTTAAAGTGATCTAGTGGCAGCTGTATGAATCTTGATGGAACATTTCCCCATGAGGAGAGGAGTATGAGAAACAAGTGTAAAGGTAGTTGAGAGTGAGAAAAGGAAATGGCTGAGCTGAGCCAGTATAGATATGTATACAAATCAATATTAAGCTTTGATAGTTGATAGTTCAAAGCCATAAAACTAACAGTGAGAATATACTTAACATCATTCTGTACCCAAACACTAGCCTAAGAAACAGCTCTGGAGATGCTCAACAGTTAATGCATTAGTTCAGATCCTGTGCTCATTTACATAAACACAAATTTATTTTCATTTACTTCATTGATAACAGTGCAGGCTTAAATTAACATTGTATAGAAGAGAGTGTGACCTGCACACACCCTCAAATAAGTCACATTTAATCTAAATCTGTAGTGATAAAAAAAAATCTTATCCCTTTACATTGGTAAAATTTTCCTGTTCCTTTCTCTTGGTAAAGTGTGAGAAACTACAGCTAATGGGAAAAGCTCAACTGGTAATGAGCTTTGCAGTTTTGTCATATTAAAGACTTTAGGGAGCTGACCTATTATATCTTTGTGTTTCCTTTCCTTAAAATGTGATTTTAATAATTTCTGATTTTTCTTCTTAGCTTTTTAATTAATTGTTTTGGCTTTTTAATTGATTTAGACAAATGCTCTCATTTTAGAATGAGCACCAATGTAATCAGCGTCTTGAGTTTAGAATTAATGGACAAATATTTGCTAATATTAATCCTTCCTCTGAATGTGGTATTTTTAAATTAGTATTTTGAATTAGTATTATTAGTATTATTATAATGAGTATTATAATTGTTAGTATTTTTATATTTTGAATTAGTATTTTGGATATTTGGAATTAGTATTTTGGGGATTTCATCGGGTGTTTACTGCAATCTGCAAAAATGTTTCTTGACTAAAACTTGTAAGGCAATGTACTGCTATTTCATGGCACTGGGATCTATCACCAGTATTGTTTCAAGAACAAAAGAGTAACAAAAATGGTATGAGATGAAATCTGGCTCCTACTGACAACGAGAATGATCGTGTTTTCCCTATTGCAGCCCAGTGATTTGTTCCATTTATACACCTGATAATTGGTAAATTCAAAAACTTTAGTCACAGCAACATTGCACTTAAATCTGGTGGAAATTTGCAGCTGCATACAGTCAAGAAGGAAGCTTGTGTTCTCTAAATTGGTTTAATGGGTTGGCCTTTTGGGGAGCAAAGAACTGAGCTGCAGTTGCATCTCCCGTCCTGCACCAGCACGGAGAGTATTCCCCATGCTGACTCCAGCTCTGTGCTGCTGTGTGTTTGGCAGTCCAGCTCTTTTACGTAGTCCTTAAGGGGCCTCCACTAACACAGTGGGTGTGTTGATGCGGTCTGCTAACAGACAGACTGCCCTACAGCGTGAAGGTAGGATGAGACCTGTTGAGGCGATTGCGAGTGAACGAACCTTTGTTTAAACGGCAGTAGAGAAAGGCTGCGCTTCTCGAGCCCAGGGACTTTGCTGTGCATCAGACCGGCACAGCTTGTAACCGATAGTCCTATCTGCACACACCAGAGTACGTTAAGTGCTTGTACGGTGCTGTCACCACCAGGATGTGAAACAAGAAATTATCACAACTGCAAAGCAAATCTAGGGTCAAGTAGCACAGCAGGTATGGTACTGAAGTTGGATGCACCGCAGATCCCCGTGCTGCCAGCCGCGCTCCGCGGGCCGCAGATCAGGCCAGAGGGGAGGTGTCCCTGCGGTGCCGGGCTGGCTCCGCCGCAGGGAGCACGGGGAGTACCAGGCGCTGGGTCCCGGCCGCGGTAGCCGCGGGGAAGGGCTCGGTCGGGAAGCTCCCCTAGAGGGAAGAGCTCCCCGGGAGCCGGCAGCACGTGCGGCCCCGAGAGAGCCTGCCCCGTTCCCCGCCCCTTCCCTCCATCCTCGGGCGGGGCGGGGTGGAGCGCAGCGCGGCCCGCCCCTCTTCCTCTGGCGTCGCTTCCGCTCGCAGAGCTCTCGCTGCTGCCGCTCCTCGCTGCCGTTCCTGCCCGTCTCCACTCCGGGCCGCTCGGGCATTTTCTCTCTGCCTTAAAGTCGGTGAGGAGACGGGTGCGGGTTGGGGGCGGCTGGCCGGGGCCGGCTGCGGCAGCCTGGGCCGTAAGGGCCGCGCTGCGGTGGAGGCCGGGGGAGGGAGGTGGTGTACCCCTTCCTCCTCCCCTGCACGGGTACTCGGGAGCGGGGCAGCTCAAGGCACGGCCAGCTCGGGCCGTACTGCGGGGGCGAGAGGCGCGGGCACGGCCGCGGGCACGGGCACCGCGCGGGCCGCGGCTCCGCCCTGCGGCCGCCTCCGCCCGGGGAGCCCGGTGCGTGCCGGGAGCCGGGCGGGGGCCGGCGCCGCCCGCAGCCGCCCAGCGCCGGGAGCTGGAGGGAGGAGTGGCCCCTGCCCGCAGCGCCCTCACGGCTATCTCTCCTTCCTTGTAGGGTGTCTTTTATGAATAATCAAAAGCCGCAGAAGCCGACACTATCGGGCCAGCGTTTTAAAACCAGAAAAAGAGGTGAGTTGCCGCACCGTGCCAGCTGCCAGCGCTGTGTGTACGGGAAAACGTCGGTTTCTGTCAGTAAACAAACCAGTGCCGTCATGTGTTTGCCATAAATTTTTTATGTGAGATCACGCTAAGTGCAGAGTTTCGAGGCTGACTGGAATTTTCTCTGCACTAATAAAAAATATTTGGCAGTCAGAATCTTCGCTAAATTTACTATGATAACTTTTGCCTAAAAGATGGCCATTCTAGAACCATCCTGAGTGTGTTTAGCCTGCAAGCAGAAGGATCTAATACCACTGAATTAGAGGGGAACTCCAACACAGGCTTCTTGCAGGTTAATACATACATCTGAGGAGCATCTAATGTGGTAAGAATTTTAGTCTTAGCCACTGCATAAAAGTTACATTGTCCTCTTTTAAATTTTTTAAAATTGACAGAAATCACAACAAATCCCACAAATCCACTCACCCACCTAATCCCCCAGTCAACATCCAAAAAAAACGCCAAAGGATGGGATATGCAAAGGCCTGTAACTCTTACATCTGTCCATCTGTGTCTGTTGGACCATCTCTCACACTCTACATAAGAAGAGTTAGTGACTGAAGAGGTGTGATGAGTAACTTAGTGTTTTGGTGAAGGTTTTTTCCAGCCTGAAGAGGAAGTGGGGATGCTCTTAGAGTTTCTGTTCAGTACAGTTTTACTTGTACACCAGCAGTGTCCCAGCTCTAACAGGCAGCTTTAGGCATTCTGTAGATGCAGAAGCACACTTGGATTTTTAGAACCTATTTGAATGTCAAAACACCTCAAAAATCTCTTGACCATTAGAGTTTGCTGTGGTCTGTCCAGCAGATGAAATACTAGCAGCCAGGGGTTTAGTCTCTTTTTAAGCATTTAACCATAGTTTGGCTGTGAAGCAACTCTTCCAGAACAATGAGCTCCGTGGTTCTGCCCTGGAAAATAACTGATCCAGTATTTCCAAACTGGCACCCAGCTTTTACCAGTGTGTTGATACTTGCATTGACACTGGACACCAGTATACCCTACTAGGCTGCTCACAGATTTGGCTAAGATGTTGTAGACAGCACTCAAGATCTGCAGTTGAATTCTCTTACCCTTGTAAGCTTTTCATCTCATGATTTCCATAATCTAAGTACAAATTGAGATTAGGAAAAATTGAAGACCTCTTTAAGACTTTCTGTTAGTTACATGGGTGGATTTGTTGCATGTTGACTATGCCCAACATGTAGTAAAAACAAGGCAGTGATCAGCTGATGTATCAGGTACGAAGATACATCAGGAGCGTTCTGCTTAACAACAGCAAAGGATGCTAAATAGATCTGCAGTTAATGCCATTAAGTTAGCTCAAATGTCTATATTTCCCCCAAGCACTTGAGGAAAAGTTTTGCCTCAAACTCACTTAGCTGCAGGTTAAGATGAGGGGATGGTCTTCATAGCCAAAACGCGAATTTCCAGGTGACTCGGGTGCGATAATGGTATGCGGTTTGTCAGTCAGAAGATTTCATCTGAAACAGAGAGAGGCCCAAAAAGCTGAGATAAAACATGAATAATGGAGTCAAATGTACAGAGTTATAGGGGCATGTATTAAAAATTGCCTTCCAGCATGAGCTAAGTCTCTGGTTTTGGAGGGAGTGATCTAACATGAGAATAGGGGTATAAGAATCAAACTGAGATGTCAGGTAAGCTTTATTAGAGCCAAGTAATGATAATCACAAAGAACTCTTCACGGAAATCTTATTTCAACACTTTGCTTTACAGATGAAAAAGAGAGGTTTGACCCTACTCAGTTCCAGGACTGTATTATTCAAGGTTTAACTGAAACTGGCACTGACTTGGAGGCAGTAGCAAAGTTTCTTGATGCTTCTGGTGCAAAACTTGATTATCGCCGCTATGCAGAGACACTTTTTGACATCCTGGTGGCTGGTGGAATGCTGGGTAAGTCCATGTGATGTGACTGCTGTCAGCTTCATTCACTTCACTCTGCAAAAGCTGCATTTCTTTTCACTGTAAAATCTCTGCTAAAGACCCCATTGAGTGTGTAGAACAGGGTTTAAGTTAATCTGTGGTAAAACACCTGATCGTCTTGGTGCCTGAGCATTTACTCTAGAAATACTCTCTCTAACCTGCCTCAGTTTTACTTGAGCCTGTTTGCATTTCCTGAAGTGTAGAGTGTACAAACTCTGCGTAGAAGAAAGTACTTTGGGCTTTTGGGTGTGGTGGGTGTGGTTGGTTTTGTTTGTTTGGCTAGTTTTTGTTGGTTGGTTGTTTCTTTTGTTAGTTTTTTGTTTGGGTGTTTTTTTTTTGTTGGTTGGTTTTTTTTTTTTTTTTTTTTTTTTTTTTTTTTTTTTTTTTTTTTTTTTTTTTTTTTTTTTTTTTTTTTTTTTTTTACCAGGAGTAGATCTTGATTCTGGTCAAGATCACTTCTAAGGATGAGAGATGGATGAATGCTTGTTTCAGGTGTGTGGTCTGTGTTAACAAGACCAATAGTTGCCCTTAGAGATCCTGACATGATCCTGTGATTTGTGCATCCTGCCCCTGTTATTTTGGAAAGGAAACTTGTTTGCAGAGGAATCTGAAGTGCTTAGTCTTGGACATGCTGTTACAAATGATTTGTTGTTGACAATAATGAGGTCACAGCTCTAGCACACATCAGGGAGTGAGAAATGAGAGGGTGGTCAAGTTGGCACAAAACACAGGGACTGAGGAAGTGAAATGTGATGATGAAAAGTCTTGTAAACTCAGGTACACACTCTGTGTACAGAGCAAAGATGCTCACCAACCAGGTAAGCACATACTGTAATTGTTACAATATGTGGGTTTCCATTCAAGAGTCTTAACCAGTTCATCCTACTGAGTTAGGAGGTGTTCCTTCTAGGAATGAGGCTGATGGGGAAGGGAAGAAGGCACTGCTGTGTTAATGATGATATGGGGTGTTTTACTCAACTCCTTGTCTGTATCAGGTAGCTAAGAAGACTAGCTTTAAGTTTCAGGCAGAGGAGGCTAGAATAAAAACTGACATCCTGTTGCCTTACCAGCTTTTAATATTACTACCAGAAATACTCATCTCTGCTTTTAAAGTCATGTTTCTGGCTAATTCATAACAAAAGATCTCCACTGTATGTAGAATGGCATAGAAATTGATGATGAAGTGTTCTGGCAGTGAAGCTGGTGACCTGAAAACACCTTCATTAGTGAAGCAGCCTAATTAAAGCTTCAAGCTCATCTCTGCAGCACTGAATTTTGAACTGTGTGTCTTTACATGTTTCGGTCTACTGTTGTGATTTACTCTGCCACATAAAAGGCACAAAGCAGCACTATTGCAGCAGACACCAAAAATACACTTGCTGAGATTAAGCAGCTTCAGTGGCTTCCTTTAAGGGAAGGGGAGCTCATATGGCCTTGTTGACTTATTCACATGAACACCAGACGTGTTGTCAATCTCCTAAGCAGTAGTTAAATGTTTCCAAATCTAAGCTGCTTTTAAAGTTCTGGTGCAGCAGTGGAGCAGAGGGAAATGTCTCTGGTTATCAGATCATTGAGTTCATGACAGGACAACATGTTGCATGTTATGGGTGCTGGAGTTCTGCTGTGGAGACTGCTCATTGCTCTCACTAGGAGTAGCACTACTAATGCTGAAATCCTCCTGCAGCCCCGGGCGGGACCCTGGCAGATGACATGACACGCACAAACGTCTGTGTGTTTGCAGCACAGGAAGACCTAGAAACCATGCAAGCATTTGCTCAGGTTAGTTCTGAAATTAGGATAATTTAACTTAAAGCTGTTTAATGGTCAAAAGTTAAACATTTGTGTAATTGTAAGTTAACGTAAAAATAATGCATGGCTTTAAGCACACTGGATGTGGTAAGTGTTCTAAAGAGTTCAGACCTATTTTACTGAACTTATTTTTTTTAAATTCTAATCAAGTGATAGTTCACAGCAAAAGCTACTGTACTCTGTCTTTCTAGGTTTTTAACAAGTTAATCAGGCGTTACAAGTACCTAGAGAAAGGCTTTGAAGATGAAGTCAAAAAGGTAAGGAATGTTTTTATATCAGCAGACAAACCTTCACATTCTGCTAGCTAACCACTCTGTAGAAGGGTTACATCATAAAATGGATGATTAAAATACAACCCTTGAAAGTTGCTCATAGAAGAATGGCTGGCTTGCATGACTCCCAGTGACTAGTGCTTCTGCTAGCTTGATGAAATAAAAGTGTTTAACACAGAGGCACTAGCCAAAGTTTAGTGAGAAGTGGTAGTTTTATGCAGCTCTTCTTACTTGTCCTGCAGTTGCTGCTGTTCTTGAAAGGGTTCTCGGAATCTGAGCGGAACAAACTGGCCATGCTGACGGGTATTCTGCTTGCCAATGGGACACTCAATGCATCAATTCTCAACAGTCTCTACAATGAGAACTTGGTTAAAGAAGGTAAGTGTGGCCCAGCTCCTCCCTTAGGAAGGGAGTAGGTGGAAACTGTGATGATAATACATCCTTGCAGCTCACAAGCTTCCTCTGGTGATAGATTGACTACAGGATTAGCAAAGGTAAATGTGATGCCCCTGTGAACCTGGAAGGTTTTTTTAAGACTTCAGAAAATGAGTTTCTTGAGAAAGCTTGTGTGTAGGACTTCCCTGCATGACACTGGGGGCTGCCATCACTAGCGTTGCCCAGCAAGGCACCACTGTATTTTGGAGGGACCTTTCAGGATGCAAAATGTGTGTCGTGTCTTTAGGTTACTTCCTAAATTGCAGCAAGAAGAGTTGAATTTTGTACAGGGGAGACTTTGTTTTATACTGAGTTGTAGGAAAAGTCCAGTGTGCTGGAGGCTGCAGTGTCCTTGGGCAGGGAGAGGTACTGCAGACTGTGCTGGGGTTACTTGGAAGGACAGCTGCTGCTCTGAGCACAATCTGACAAACGAAGTGCCCTGTACTCAGGCCTTCTGGTTCCCTGTTTTGAGTTTCACCAGTAATAGAACTATTCTGATTGCACAGGTGTTTCAGCAGCTTTTGCAGTCAAGCTGTTCAAGTCATGGATAAATGAGAAAGATATCAATGCAGTGGCTGTCAGTCTTCGCAAAGTAAACATGGACAACAGGCTCATGGTGAGTACCACTGGAACTACTCTGCTATTCCATAAGCCAGTTTCGTGAACAGCATTTGCCAGCAAAGTACTCAACACACATTTATTTTACAAAAGAGTTGTAAACTTTGTTTTCAGGAACTCTTCCCAGCCAACAAACAAAGTGTTGAACACTTCTCCAAGTACTTCACTGAAGCAGGACTCAAGGAACTTTCTGAGTATGTTCGGAACCAGCAATCCATAGGAGCTCGGAAGGAGCTGCAGAAGGAATTGCAGGAGCAGATGTCACGGGGAGATCCCTTCAAGGATGTAAGTGTTTGTTGACAAGGTGGAGGTGCCTTCTGTGCCTGTCTCTCCTTCATACTGAACTTAGCTCTCACTGGGAACTAAAATGAGGACTGGAGGGGAGTTGGTACTAGCTTTGTGCTCTTTTCTTAATGTCCTGAATCCTGCTGTATGCTGAAGAAGGTTGGTTGTCATTCTGAACCCTTCTGGGTTCAGTCATTCTAAACCCTTCTGAAGAGAAGTTTTAATTTAGCTTGGTGCCATATGTGGCCTTTCTGCTTACTGTTACTCTCCTTGCAGATCATCTTGTATGTGAAGGAGGAGATGAAGAAAAACAACATCTCAGAACAGACTGTGGTAACCATAATCTGGTCAAGTGTAATGAGCACAGTGGAATGGAACAAAAAGGAGGAGCTGGTAGCAGAGCAAGCCATTAAGCATTTGAAGGTATCGTAACTTCAGTACGACTTCTGCACCCCTTAGGCAGAGCCTGGTTTTCCTTCTGTCTGCAGCTCCCTTTTAAATGTTAAGGCTACCAACCCTGCTAGTGCAGAGACAGAATGAGGTGGGGAATTCCCCCCATTGTGAGGAGTTTTACAGGCCAAGGGCCTGAGGCAGAGGCAGTGACTGCTGCAGAGCTGCCCTAGGGTGGGTTGTGGTTGCAAATTTCCTAAGCAGTGGCTGATGGAAACTGCAAAACCAGCTTTGGTCAGGTAGTAAATATGTGTGTGTGCCCCCTGTGTGTGCCAATTTGTTGTTCTTGTTACAGCAATACAGCCCTCTACTTGCTGCCTTCACCACCCAAGGTCAGTCAGAGCTGACTCTTCTGTTGAAGATTCAGGAGTATTGTTATGACAACATTCACTTCATGAAGGCCTTCCAGAAAATAGTGGTGCTCTTCTACAAAGGTAACTTCTGTGGGGTTGTAGTTTCAGGAGTTTGTGGCTTTTTGGAGGGGTTGGTTTTGGTTGGTTGGGTTTTTTAAAGCTTCTGAAACAGGGCAGATCAGTGCTACAACATTGCACTTCATAAGCTGAAGATTTTTCTATGTCTTGTTTGTAAAAATGCAAAGTTGAGTGTGGCTGGCCCTTTGCACATGGGGAAGTGCAAGACAAAGATGCTGTCTGTCTACAGTAGGTCTGCTTAAGAGTTGCAGAACAAATCTAAATTTAGATTTTTAAGTCATTTTGTTAAGTTCCATGATAGTTTATTCTTCTTAGTTCTCTAAACATTGACAGTGAGCAGCTGAAGATTGAGACCGCCAATGTGTTCAGGCTGTTCTAGGCTCTTTTAAAATGTCTGATAAAAGGTGGTACTGAAAAAATAATGCTGTGTACCTATGGAAACTTGTTAAAATGAAGACTGTATTGTACTTACAAAATTTAAAATTAAACACCTGCACCACAGGAAGTGTTTACTTTTGACTTTAAAAGAATTTGCATCTGTTCTTAGCTTTTAACTGAGCTTTTGCTTAGAGTGTGCCATCTCAAATTAAAACACTCCAGACTGTTAGTGGGAGTGAAAGTGTAGCTCCTGCATACAGTACTGAGGAAACTCCCAGCATGAGGAACCATCCAAAATGCCTGGTTCTCTGAATTTCAAAACTGAAAACTGGCACTCCTGGTGCAGGTCTGTCCAGCTGTACCCAGAGAAGGAGTACATAATGTTCCTGGGGGAGGAAGCAAAGGCTGCCAGTCAGGTTCTCAGCAGTTCACTGTGTTAATACTGCTCTTGCCTACCTTTACAGCTGAAGTTCTGAGTGAAGAACCCATCCTCAAGTGGTATAAAGATGCCCATCTTGCAAAAGGAAAGAGTGTTTTTCTGGAGCAGATGAAGAAGTTTGTTGAATGGCTCAAGAATGCTGAAGAAGGTAACCAGCAGCTTAGCTCATGTGGAGCTTGTTTATTTTGGGAACCCTAATGCAAATAACACCGTGTTTTGGAGTGAGGGATGGTAATTGCCCCTCTGAGACTAGCGTGGATCCAATAGCAGCTGTTGTGCAAGATGCAGGGCAGCAGCTGAGCTCGGGGCTGGGGCTGAACCATGGCCAGGCTGCTGATGAGGTCTCTCTGTTGCAGAGTCGGAGTCTGAAGCTGAAGAGGGTGACTGACCTGTGAAACTCTGGCCTCAGTAAAGCAAACAGGAGCTGTAGATAAGTGTCATATCTCATGTGTCCTTCTGATTCTTACATCCTACCTCCCTGTATCAAGCATGATATAAGGGCTCTCATGGCAATTTATTTTAACTGTTTTCTATAGTTAATGAAATACTGGATTTAGTTTTTAAAACCATGTTCAAGTAGCTTACAGGAGCTGTTAGATTTGACTCTTAACCTGCATTTGTCCTTTCAGTTACCTTCTACCTCCTGTATTTTCTACTGTAATAATGTAATATAAGGCCTTCCATGGTGAAATCCATTTCATCTATTGGGATTTCTGTCTGTATTGAAGTAGATGTGATATGCTGAATGAGACTTAGGGCAGTCTGCTTGCAAATTAAACTATAAAAAAGCCTCCCAAATGAAGAGGCCATTGCTTGTGTGGCACTGCAGTCTGTACCACCAAATAGCCACCATCATAGGTGGTTGTCCATGTCCCCAAGTACTTTGTCATCCCTTTACCAGACTTCCAGCATAAAGCAATCCTCTATTCCAGCTCCTGGGGAAGGTGGGAGCCCCACTGCTGGAAAGAAGCTGTTGTGGTGGCAGGAGTTGGTTACCATGGTGGGGCATGAAGAGTGGCATCTCTGAGCCTGCTGGCTGTCACAGCTGGTGGCCCATATTCCTGAGGGACTGTCAGGTGCCCTTGCAGCTCTGAGAGTGCCTTCCTTTTCCCTTTCCCTCATGGAAGTCCAAGTAGTGCTGTTCCACAAAGAGCTGCCCAGCAGCTTTCCTGAGCCAGGCACTGCTGCTGGCAAGGCTAGGGTGGGGGAGTGGCTTCTTTGTGCTGCTCTGTGGATGCACAGCTGCTGCAGCCCAAGGCAGCCAGAACACCACCCCTCCCACTTCGAGGTTTAGAGATTCTTTTATGCTGGCAGCTCACACTCTAAACCAAACAACTTACCTGCTCCCTGAAATTTTAATTCCTAATGGAAATTTTCAGGACAGTCAATTCAAAAGATTGGGGGAAAAACGTGAAGTCTATACAGGTGGAGGCTAACAGTGAGCATTAACTGAAATACTGGTAACCAGAGTACACATACTAAAATAAATGAAAAAAATTGTCATCACAATGCAATCTGTTCAATACTACAGTGATCTTCCTTACTTTGTAACTTTTTTTTAAAGCAAATAAAGGCCATCCTTACACTTAATACGAAGGGCTGTCTCTGCTCCTTATCCAAAAAGAAAGCACCAGTGATATTACCAGGTACAAAGCAGTGCACAGTCTTTTTCCTCATTCAAGGACTGTTGCATAAAATGAAATTAAAATAATACTTTCTTGCTATTAGGGTGCTCTTTTGCATGTTAAAAGTGCTAACATCCCCTGAATTTGAAAACCAGGTTCATCTGTATATGAAGTAAGTTTTATGTCAATGTTTGAGTAAGTATCCAAGAAGTCATACTAAAAAGTAAGGCACTTAAAATATAACCAAATCAGAAGTCAGTGGTGTTTAAGTTTCTTTGGTCTCTGTGACTCAGCCTGCTTAGCTGCAGATGCCCAAGCCCTCTTTCTGCCTTTCAATGGAGAGAAGAATGAAAAGTGCTGCACGATAAGAGCAGTGCTTGTCTGGGACAAAATCCAGCATCTTCTGAACCAGGTCAAAGAGGTTCTTGTGGTCAGAATGCTGCCATATCATGAATTTCTTCATGAAAATAAAATAATGTTTTGTTCTTTATCTTACAATTATGCTTAAAGCTTCTGTCCTCAAAAGCATTATCCCTGTCGCATCTTACCTTCAGTGTAAGTAGGTGCCACCAGGATTTTGTTCATCCCAATCCTGCTGTCCTTGACAGAAAAATTTTCATTTCCTTAGACAAAAAGACTATATTTGTTACTCAAATATTCTGTTTTGGCCCTTCAGTATAAGTTTACCAATGTGTGTTTGCAACTTGGTTACTGGGAATACTCCACCAGAGCAGCCAGTTGTCAAAGAGATGACTGGGTCTTAAATCGAATCTGAAAATATTTAAATTAAACTATAGCAGTCCAGTACATAAAAATACAATTCCCAGCTTTTTTTATCATGTGATATGGCAAAGGCTCCAATTCTTTGCCATGGCTCTGAAGGGAAATCTAGAGAGACATTTTTGTTCATTGTTAGAGGAAGTTACCAATAAGTTTTTCACTGTAGCCTGCAACCAATAATCAGTTTCAGATTAAGGAAAAGAGAGGCTGTACTGATCTGTTTCCTAAAGGTAGAATGTACTAGGTTTTGTCCCTTGAGGTTTTTTCCCCTTGACCCTATTTCTATTTTTTTACTTAATGTTGAGTAATCTCAAGTTTCAGCAATACTGTCAAGATGACAAAATTAAGGTATTTGAATTTGTTGATGGTGACAGATGAAGCCACATCTGTTACTAGCATGGCTTGTAAATTACAAATGTTAAGAAGGTGATCCTTCACACTAAGCTGCTGCCAAAACGTTGAATTGTTCTGTTCATACCCTTCCCTTGTGCCCACATCTCTCTTCAATCTGGCACCATGGAGAAAGGCAGCTGAAGTTCTTGCATAAATCATTCCCCTCACTTCCTGCCTCTCCAGGATATTTTCACCCACCTGAGGAGTATTAGAGATGCTGCATCATTCTAAGGGTGAGTAACTCACAGGAAATAGTGCTGCACCAAGGTAGCAGTCCATGAGAATACACTGTGCACTCCAAACATCTCATGGTTGTGACTGTCCCAGTGCTGTGAAAGGACTCAGAAGGTTCTTGTTTGATACCAGATTCCAAAACATTCCAAGAGCTTAAGAGAGCGCTGTGTGCTAAAGCGCAGTTCAACAGCATGTGACACGCCTCAAATGAGAGTTCAGCCTAACAGGCTGCTGTGGCCATGGCAAACTGCAAGAGCTCAGCCCTGGCCTGTGGGCATCAAAGTGTCTGATACTCATCCTTAAATACTGCACACCCAAAGCCCATAGCTTTCATCTCTGACTTAATGCAAGGGTGCTGAGCCCCTGGAGCTCAATTACAATTCAGACATGTCCATGGTACTCAAAGCACTCCAACATCTGAACACAGTGACTGCAAAGGCAGGAACATGACATGATGTGAAGCAATTCTAATAAAGCTGAGACACACACATCCCATAGCACAGAAGGCAACATGACAGAAATCCTAAAGCCAAACCGAAGTACAGGTGGCTTTGTATACTCACTGAGTACTGCCAGGATCCATTGTCTTTACATATTCCAGTTCTAGGACTTCATAGGCTGCTTCTGAGCAGCTGCCATCATTTTTGATTTTTTCACAGCTGCATGTTTGCCTCTTCTGAAAAGATGGGATCAAACAGTGATTAGAAGAGCAACTACTATTATGAGCAACTACTTCTAATGAAGAATATTCAGATATACATTTTTTATAGCAATAGCAACCTTTTAAGAAAAGGCATTTTTTTAGTACATGCTGACAATATAACCAAGGTTCATCTATGCATAAAAAAAGACTAACATTTCATATATCATTTCTGAAAACATACATTGTACCTTATTGTTCCTAGAAATAAAAGCCCACCTACCACCCCATAGTATTACATATGCTATTAAAAATGCAAAGCAAAGTAAAATAGATTTAAGAATTACCACAGGAGCTATTCTAGACTATTCTTGTTTAAACTGTAAATACCTACATGGACAACTGTTACTGGACAACTCTCATCAAGGCACATTTACAGTGAAAAAAGGAAAAATATGCAAGTTGCACTCAGAGAATGGTGAGAATATTAGGAAAAGAACAAGAGAAACAGCCAAGGTCAGTGGAGAAGGAAGGGCAGGAGGTGCCCCAGGTGCAGGAGCCAAGATTCCCCTGCAGCCCGTGGTGTAGCCCATGGTGAGGCAGCTGTGCCTCTGCAGCCCAGGGAGGATCCCCTGCACAGGGACCAAGAGATCCACCTGCAGCCCGTGGAAGACACCACACTGGAGCAGGTGGATGCCTGAAGGAAGGCTGTGACTCCAGGGGAAGCCTGCTCTGGAGGAGGCAGGGACCTGTGGAGCTGTAGAGAGGAACCCACTGGAGCAGGTTTCCTGCTAGACTTGAGATCCCATGGGAACCCACTGGAACAGGCTATGCCCGAAGACTGCATCCCATGGAAAGGGAGCTGTGCTGGAGAAGTTAATGGAGGACTCTCCTGTGGGAGGGACCCACACTGGAGCCAGGGATGGACTCTTCTCCCTGAGCAGGGACAGAAATAACTTGTGCTAAACTGAACCTACTCCCATTCTCTGCCTCCCTGCACCGCCTGGGAAGGAGGGAGGGAGGATGATGATGTTAAGATTTTACTTTTCAGTACCCTACTCTGATTTTGAGTGGTAATAAATTCAGTTACTATTACCAAGTTGAGTCTGTTTTGCCTGTGATATTATTAGGTGAGAATCTCTCCCTGATCTCAATTTGTGAACCTTTTGTTACATTTTTTTCTTTCCAGTCCAACTGCGGAGAGCAGTGACAGAGTGGGTGCGGTTAGGTGGGCAACTGTACCCAGCCAGTCAACCCACCACATCTATCTAAATAGTTAATAAAGTCTGAAAAATATTCTATGCACCTTGCACTTAATACATCTCTGACAGATCAGATCACCCTCTGCATCATCCTCTGCATTCTTGCATCTTTTCCTTCAATAGCTCTTCTGGAACAGCACCAAGACCGTGCAGCCAGTCAATAAATTCAAGTGAATTCAGGTCAGAAAAATTAATTCAGCAGGGAGAGACTCAGACATTCAGATACACACCAGGCCACAAACAGTCAGCAGGTGCAATTTCAAATTCAGTCCCCAGAAATTAACATAATTTATGTTACAAAAGAAAAACATGGCACGGAACAGATTGGCAAGTGGGAAGGAAACAAATTATTACAATTGTTTTTCTTTTAAAAGATTGGCTAACTGAATTTTACTTTATGATTTCAGGACCCCCATATTTTTCTTAAAGCAAAAGGATTTAATAATTATATTTTAGATATATATACACACATATATGTTTTTAAACAACCTTCTGTCCAAATTAAAATAGCCATTTTAAGCAATTGAGATTAAATAACTTGTATGAGTATTTGGCAAGAAGCTATTTTTTAAAAATTATAAAAGATAGACGTTTGCTTAACGCTGTTTTGGCTTAAGATCTTAACTTACAACTCCAATCATCAGTGTTTTTAACAGTGTAACAAAAATCAGAAGACCCACCCTGCTAGTGGGAAGACATCATCCATATTTAAATCTACAGATTTCTCACTGATACTTGAAAATGTCAGTCTGGCATGAGCTCCTTGCTATTTCAAGTGATACTTAGTCAAAATCTAGTTTAGTAGCTTGTCCTTGGATTTTAGAGTAGGGGTTAAGCAAATGCTTATCATAATATAAATCTTGAAGGCATGAAAGTGATGCCTGTATTTCAAGTAGTCCAATTGATGGTTATTGTTCATTAATCTGCTCGGATATATTCAGTGAACAAATAGCAGAACTATGTTCTGTGGTATCAAAAGCATATGTACAAACTATACATTTTCATTGAAGGAAATGCAATCCTAGCAAAAATCAGCTACTAATATGAGCCAAAGGAATAAAATTCTATTATCCACAGAATTTCCCAGATCCGACACTCAATTATTACTCATAGATGAGAATCTACCTTCTTAAAAAAAAAAAAAAAAAAAAAAAAAAAAAAAAAAAAATTAAAAAAAAAAAAAAAAAAAAAAAAAAAAAAAAAAACAACCTAAATTAAAACTGGTCCTATCACCTGTGGAGGTTTAGGTTGGCATGCATTTATAAAGTGTCTTGTATTTCCTTTTGCCACCAGCTGTCACATTAGACCAGATTCCTGGCTACTTGGATGCCCAGTGTCACACCCTTCCTTGGACATGTGACTGCAAACTTCAAAACTTTCATTGCCAACGGCCTCTTTCATTCACAGATTTGGTTTATGAATAATAATTAAAAAAAAATTCCAGTAAATGCAACTAAAATCATTCTAGTGTCCCTATGAAGGCAGCTTTTTGTTTTACGCTGGAAGAATCTTTCTTGAAATACCTTCAACTCAAAAATTAATCTGGTATCACATGACCTAATCAGAATAATAAAGTCTTAAAGTACGCCTGCTGATACCAGAAGTCCAGAAGTTATTTACCTGCCAGGAGTTTCAGAAATGCAGTTGCAGTACTTTTTCTCCTGTGCACTTCTGAATGGCATCCTCTCTCCATTCCCACCATTGCTGCACCTTCTGCAAAGTGGCCTTTTTCTTTTATCCCTGTCAGGACTATTAATTTGACTGAAATTCTCCAAATGTAACCAAGATATTTTACTCTTTTAAATTACAACCCACGGAAACACATTTTCAAAGCCATTAAAGTAATTACTAATTTAAACATAATAAATAGTATGTTTTTTCTCAACATCCGAATTTTTGGCTATTTTCTCTGCTCCTTCTTCCAAGTTTTTTTTAATTAAAGAGCTTTTTTCAATTTAATTATTTTTGATATGGGAAATTAAAGCTGTAACCCTCTTCTTAACAAAAAAGCATTTTAACGACATACTGTGGCTCGGACACTTCTGCCAAGCTACTCAGGCCTCAGTGCTCCATTACCCTCAGAAGAAGAAAGGCTTCTGTGTGCTTGACAAGGGCAAATATTGCCCAGGGGGCTTTTCAAGATTTCAGTGAAGTTTTTCTGTGGGAGACAATAAAACTCAACCCATCTCCAGTTAGGCTGCCCCATGAGGAAAAGCGAACTAAATCACCCGCAGCCTTTTCAGCCCCACGCCGGCTGCAGCGCCTCAGGCCGGCGGCCGCTGCCGGCCGCGGGCGGGCGGAGCGAGGCGGGCGCGGGGCCGGCCCCGGATCGGCGCCCGGAGCACTTCCCCGACCAGAGGCTCCGCGCCCGGCCCGAGCCGGGGCTCCGGGAAAGGCTCCGCGAAAGGCTCCGCGAAAGGCTCCGCGAAAGGCTCCGGCCCCGCCGCAGCGGCCGAGGCCATTTTCTGCCCGCCCGGGAAGGCGCAGCACAGAACATGGCGGCCTGAGGGGCGGGGGCGGCGGGAGGCTCCAGTGGCGAAACGGTCGCTGCTTACCCCAGTGGCGAGGCTGTCGCCTCCCTGTACTGCCCTGGACACGGTTCGTGGTCCTCTGGAATCGGCTTAGCGCATCTACAAGTCTCTCACTGTTCAACGATCATGCACCATTATTTTCTTTTTGCCCACTGCTCTCCAGCTTAGACTAAGCCCAGGAAAACAGACAGAATACAATTTTACAAAGTTTGCAGTTTTGCCTCAGTAGGATCACTCCCCTTTCAATACACATTAAATTTAAAGGGAAAAAACCAACCAAACAAAAAACAAACAAAAACCAAAAATACACCCCACACCCTACATTTAATGTGCATCCTACAGAGAGCAAAATACTTAGTGCTGCCACATTTCACATTTTTTGTGAAGGAAAAAAAAAAAGACCTGAAATTGTTTCCAGTTCAGTGCAATTTTAAATTATTAATTATTTACAGTTCCTTTGCACAGTAGGAAATTTCCCAGTATGTCCTGCCTCCTGCATGGCAGTAGTGTCAGTCAAGTGTGCTATTGCACACTTCTGTTTACTTGCTACTGCTGCTGGTTTTAAGGAAGAGAGAAGCACAGAGCTGAAAGAATAAAATCCTTTACTTCACTGAAGTATTACACTAAAACATACTAAGCCTGGAACAAGGGCTGGGAGCTTAAAACAACATGCCATGAAGAATACAGAAACTTTTTCCCCAGCAGGTATTAAGTCTTCTCATTACCTCAGTATTCTGTACCTGGCATTCTTTGCCTTTCTCTTGTAAATGACTTCTCATTATTTTAAGAGGCAAAGTCTCAAAATGGAAAATAATGATTTGAAGATGACTGCAAGTCAGCTGGACCTTGAGCCTCCTAAGGATTACAAAGCATATCCCTTTGCTAAGGGATGCTCACTGAGTGGAAAGAGGACTGGGGAAAGAAGCCCAAAATGGCTCTTATCTGTTCGACACCATGTGACCTCAGCCTTTTTGACAGCGCTCTTTGTTTTGTCTACCCCCTAGTCTTTGTGCAAAAAAGTGATGAAAAACAAGTTACAATAAATCCATGTTACCTAGTTTCAATCAACAGCTATGTAAGGACAGAAATACTTACTCTTTCATAGCAATAGTGCTGTGCCAGAAGCAGAAGAAACTACTCCCATCTATCTTTTGGAAAGGCTTAAGAGGTTATCATTCCAACACAGCAGCACAAGAGCAAACACTGCTCTAAATATGTTCTTTAATCTTCTGGGAGGGAAAGGTTTCATCTATTTATGACTCTGCTCTCACCTAGGGGGAAAAACTGCATGTCTTACTTTACTCTTTTGAAAAAGGTAAAGAAGGTGACACATAATGAGAAAGTTTCACATAATTGGTAGCATAAAATTATAGCAAAGGACATTGCTTTAACATAACATCACTCAGAAAGATAATGCAAAAACCAAAGATTAGGAAAAAAAAATAAAGTATTTTTATTTTACAAGTATAAAAAACAATGCTTAAAAATCAAAATGCTGGAAGATACTCTGGAAAACCTGGCTTCTGAAGCAGAAGACCTCTCTGTGACAACTCCCAAACAACGTTAAAGCTCCTGAAAATTCTGCATTCAATAAGCAAAGATATGATCCAGCTGAAGTAACCCTTTTTAATGGCTCTTTAAACCCCATAATCTGGGAATTATCTGACCAGTCTCTGCAGAATGTGTTGTAGCATTCTGTGGCTACAGTGCAAAAGGGTTGGCATGAATTGTAATGTCTTTAATGCGAACATCATTAAGAGGTCGATAGGTTTTCTCATTCACAGGCAGCTTCTCCAGCTCATCCAGGGTCTCCAAGCCATCAATAACTCTGCCAGAAAAACACAAGAAAATTGCCTTCTAATAATGCTTTAAATTTCACTGTTGATGTGTGTCAAAACATTTTACAGTCAAGTATCACAAGGCAGGGACTTTGCAAGCAAATGATACAAAATAAGACAACCAATACATTTTATGTGGCAAATAATGTACTTTGAAAGGGATTATTAAGCATCCACGACAGACTCTGAGAAGAAGTTCAAGCATTTGCATGTGCCCTGAAATACTCAGATCTCTCACACACTCTGACAGAGGCGTGCAGTTGAATCACTTACTTTCCAAACACCGTGTACTTCATGTCCAGGTGAGGCTGTTTGCCGTAAGTGATGAAGAACTGTGATCCATTGGTGTTGGGACCATTGTTTGCCATGGAAACTACCCCACGGACACTGTGCTGAACAAGGGGAAAAACCTCAGCATGAATACACATCTGTGAAACCAGAACTAACCTGGGCAAAGTGCTCTATGACTTAGAGCTCTTCCTCAATTATTAAGAACAAATCTTGGTTGCTAATATATTCTATCACAGTCAATAATTAGCTGCTCAGAATGGCTCTTACAGTGAAAAACTGCTTCTTTGCCCACTACATGAAAAATGCTGTCAGAAATTCTCTTTACTTCTGCTTTCTGTGATGAAAACTCTCAAATCTCACTTGCCAAGCACAGAAATGCCTGTTCCTATTATAATAATAAGCTATTGTTCTCCAACCAAGAGAAAATTATTGCCGAGAAAATTAAAATGAAAACATAAGTGCATATTGAGAGCACATAAATACCTTTAGATATTCACTGAATTCATCTTCAAACTTCTTGCCCCAGATGCTGTTACCTCCTTTCCCAGTGCCTGACAAAGAAGCACCACAGTAGAAATTACTGGATTTTCAGACTGAAAAACCCAGAAATTATGTTTGTTCTGTTACAGCATTTTACAACAGAGTCCAGACAGCCTGCAATTAGTCTGAGGCAGGCTCTTGATACTGCACTAAGACATAACTCTATATAAGGAATCTATTAAGTAGCAGAACAAAACACTGACACATCCTCAAATTAAATTCAGTATGAGTATGAACAGACACAACTGAATCAGCTTTTCTCCCAAACAGCTGACACCGTCTGGGACGTTTTCCCCAAATGATTTAGATGCAGCCTTTCAGGCAGAAACCACACAAAGCACATTAGTACCTGCTTCTAATTTAGTCAACAGAACCATCATATTTAGTGAAAATAGCTGCTAAAACTCAAGTTTGTAGAATGCATAATTACTTAAAACTGGGGTAATGCCTGCACTGCTGTAAGCCCTCCACAAAAAAAAACCCTCATCATAAAAAAACTCTTATCAACAATACAATAATTCTTTTATTTTTATTTTACTTACGTTTTAGTTTTAATACCCATAATTCCTTTTTATTTCCTTACATTTTATTTTTATGTACATTTTTTCCATAGAAAGACCCAGACAGAAGAATTTACCTAATGGATCCCCTGTCTGAACCATGAAGCCCTTTATATTTCGGTGAAATACGCATCCATTGTAGTAGTTACTAGCACAAAGAGCCAGGAAATTCTACAAAAATCAAACAAACCATATTAACAACTGAAAAATAGTATTATCTTACTAAAATGACAGCATTGGCAAGACCAGTGCTTTTACCTCTGCCTTGCTTTGTGTGAATTCCACAGACTTTTGCTGCAGAGTAGTCATAAACAAATCATAGATAATAAACTCCTTTGATAGTGTCACACACAAAGAATACAAAGCTTTCAGTGCAAGGCTGTCTGACTTGAGGAACAAACAAGAGGCCTAAGACATTCTCTCAAATATCATTCCCATTCAACAATTTTATTTGGCACATGTAATTTTGTAATCAATAACTTAATGCCTCAGCTTTTTCATTAAAATAAATGCATTTTATTTCAATTTCAATTTATTGCAAAAATTCAAAACTGGGGTGCCTGACAAACCGTGAGTCTCACTCTTTCAAACTAAAATCAAGTCTGTGGGGATATGAGTAAACCCATGGAAATTTGGGAATCCTAGGCTGGGTGCTGTATTTTGCCTTAAAGGCAAAGGACACTTTGGGAGATGCTGGAACTTCAAAAGAAGCACCCCTTAACTAAACCTTATCAAGAGAGAAACAGGCATGAAACTCCAGTCAGTATGACAGAGTGCACAAGTTCCATGATTGGAACAGACACTACACCAGCTTAAAATGTTGGCGTTCCATTACATGAAAAGGTAAAATTGCAAAAGCTACTTCACCTCCTTCACAGGCTTGACTATTGCTACTGCTGTTTCACCACTAGGCAATCCTACTCCTGGTGTGTGACTTACTTCACAAGTCTTTGGAGTACGCTCACAGAACAGTTCAATTTTAATATCTCCCACATCCGTATGCAGTGTGACAGCCTGAGCAAAAGGCAGAAAACAGTAAATAAATCAGCAATAAAATACTAACATACACTGTTTTATTTCCCAGTCCCATCAAGAACATAAGTAAGTTTGCACTGCATTGAAGTTTGCAGTGCAAACTGCAAGTTTCACTGTTTCAACATTTGGCTATAAGCAAGGTTACTGTCACAACCAATCCACATTTCCAGTGAAATCACCAGAAAGCACTCAGTTTCATTTAGTTTCAGGACAAATCAAGTTTGCCATGGTAATGCAGTACCTGTTGCATGCTCCACTCCAGAAATACATTATTCATTTGCCAACTCAGGGCCTACTCAGTCACTTGAAAGTAAAGGTGAAGAATCAAGTTTGTATCTATTTTGGATGGTGCACACACTGCACTGCTTTACAACTAGAGAAGCAACTGATGCCTGCAGCCTTTTGATTAATAAGGCTAGTTCTGAATGGCAGCATGTATAATGTGCCTTCACAGATAAGTAAATCTCAAAATTTAACTTATAAGTTCTTAAGAAAAGTAAGTTACCTTCATAAAATTTAAAATCAGCTTACCCAGTGACGTAAGCAAATTTATCTCTACAGGACATATATGTTACAGTGCTTCTATGGAAAGTGCTAAACTATGCAAAAACAATTACTGTGGGGATAGCTGTACAGCAAAACTAATTAAAATCAGCATCACATTGATACTGGCATACTGCTCCAAAAGTATACAAGTAAAGGAGATAGCTGTCCACAATGTCCATGAAGATCCTATAGAAGGTGTATGATCAGTTTAAGACATATATAGTTTTATTTCTATTTCTCAAATTGCTAACTTTTTAAAAGCCTCTGAGCGCAGAGGTTTACATACACTGAATCAGAGGTATGTTCTTGCAACTAGACTAATGCTTCTGTGGCAAAAGAAACCAAACTAGATTATTAAATACATGCCAAAGTAGCATTAGAATCTGGGATCTCTAAAGTGAAAGCATAATGATGTTTTAGACTAATGTAAATCAACCTATTTTCCTTTTCATAGTGTCTTTTTATAAGTTTGAAATGAAAACCCTGAACTTTTCATGAAAAATTACTCACAGCATCAGAGTAAAACGTGTAATCCTTTGAGACAGAGAGAAGCTATTCGCTTTCCAAGAGATGACCATTTCAGAAAATATATAAAATGTGCTTTTATTCTTACCATGTCTGCTTATCAAAATCTGAGGTAGCCTTCTATACAGCAACTTCCTGTAAACATAAGAACTTTGTTGGGTTTTTTCCTACCAACCCCCATTTGGTTTTGATTCTAAAATATTTGTTGGTTACATGCTTTTACACCACACAGTTCTAGGGTGCCATTCCAATGACTCTGTGGCTAAATTTTTGCATTGAGCAACTACACAGCATAGAAAAAATGAAAAACTACTAGAACAAGACCACTTAGAGAACGGGGAAGAGGGTAAAAACACTCGTTCCTAGGATGAAAATTCATACCAAGCAATCAGTTTTTGCAAGTATTGTGGCAGTCGGCAGAACAGCAGATGGCAGAAATTCATAGGTAAAAGCCACATGCCACTACCTAACAGATGCGTGATTTGGGGCCAACTCATGACAGCTGTGAGTGCTTGAAACAGACAGGTACCTGCACGCAACCACAGGATCAGACTTTTTAACTTTGTAATACTTTCAATTAAAGTGTTTAAAATGCCGGCAATAAAAGCGCGGCTACATAGAAGCCGAGATATATATTTAAGCGACAATAGGTTCACTATACACCCGCCCTCGCCGGTGAAGCCCCGGTCCCGTGTCCCCACCTCAACCCACCTGTCCCCGCTCCCCGTCACCCACGGCAGCCGGAGCTACCGCTCCCTCCCTGCCCAGGTACCGCCACCGAAATGCCGCGCACAGAACAGCTGGGCTCCTCCACCGGCGGCACCGCCGCCCGCCGCGCTCGGAGAACGCCTGAACCTGCCGGGGCTGACGCGGACCCAGCCCCCGCCGGGGACAAGCGGCGGCGCTCCCGCGGGCCTCCGCTCCCTCCCGGCGCTACCGAGGGGCCGCCCCAGCCGCGCTGAGCACGGCGGAAGCGGCGGAGCCGAGCGCAGGTCCCGCCCCGCAGCGCCGGCGCTGCCCCGGCGGGAGGTGAGCGAGGCCGCCGAGGAGGGAGCGCCTGTGCGGCCGGGCTCTGCGGGTCGGCCGTGCCGCGGGAAGAGGGGTGGAGCTTCAGCTCCGCGCACTTGGTGCTGGCCAGCGGGGCGGCGTGTGCGGGGCGGCGTGTGCGGGGCGGCGTGTGCGGGGCGGCGTGTGCGGGGCGGCGTGTGCGGGAGCCCCGGGGTGGGGAGGGGCTCGGTACCGGGTGGTGCCGGGTGGTGCCGGGTGGTGCCGGGTGGTGCCGGGGGTGGGCGGGCGCAGCGTCCACAACCCGAGCGGCCGTGGCTGCTGTTTGCCTGGTGGGTTCCCGGGGCTCACGGCGGCCTGTTTGCCCCGCACAGGTCCCGCATGCTGCTGTCTGTGCCGCCGCTGCTCCGCCCGCCTCTCCACCGCGTCTGTGCCTTGGGCCGCCCGCCCGTACGCGCCCTCATGAACCTCCGGGAGCTCGTTTCTGCTCTGAATGACTTCGCATCCCCCGCTCTGGCTGAAAGCTGGGACAATGTGGGATTGCTGGTGGAACCAAGTCCTCCCCACACTGTGAACACCCTTTTCCTCACTAACGACCTCACTGAGGAGGTGATGGAAGAGGCAGTGCAGAGGAAAGCAGACCTCGTTCTTTCTTACCACCCTCCTATATTCGCACCACTCAAGCGAATAACGTGGAAAACCTGGAAGGAACGGCTGGTGGTCCGAGCCTTGGAGAACAGAATCGGGATTTATTCTCCACATACGGCGTACGATGCCATACCTCACGGAGTTAATAACTGGCTAACAAAGGGACTCGGTGAGATTCTGTTAAGAGCAAACAAGTTAAAATTATTAAAGATGTATGCTATTTTAAGTGGGATCTTTCATCATTTGCCTTCTAGCTTTTACAGGTGTGATTTGAGGATTGTTTTTATTTTTCCTAATATTTTTATGGTACTGTAACCTTAAATACATTTTAGGACATTTTTCTTGGTGGTATATACCAGATAACAACATAATAGTTTTAGATTTTTGACTCTACTATTGGATGTGTCTGTAACTGGTGGCGCATATATATTGTCCACTGTAGTTGCAATTCTGATACCAATGACTTTAAATCACCACCTTGAAAGTATGAGATCTCAATATTTGCAAAGCATTTAAACTATGTGAAGTTATTTTAGATTTTTATCCTGTATTGTGGCTCACAGATTACAATAGCTGCATCTTTTCCAGTCTGTTATACAAACTAGGAACTCCTGGTTTTGGACAATCCTTAGGATAAAACTGATGGCATTGAGACTGGCAGATAATACATATCCATCTTTGGACTTAAAACAGACTGTGCCTAATGGAGACAGAATGAAAAGCCTCAGTTCTAGTCAGGAAAAAAGGATTTGAGTGCAAAATTTGTACCTTTTGTGCTGCATCTCTATAAGATATGTGCCAAATCAGTGTTAGGATACCTACCCTGCTTTATAAACCAGCAATCTTGTACTGTTTTCTCAGGCACCTGTACTTCTGTCCCACTGCATCCATCAACTGCACCAAGCTCTCCAGCTGAGGGCACTCACCGGGTAGAATTCTGTGCAGATGCTGAGCATCTGGATGCAGTGCTGTCCAAAATCAAAGACATGCCAGAGATCTCTTGTCTCACTACTCTCCCAGCCAGGTATCTGCTCCACTCTCTAATGTTGTATTCTTCCTGTTATTTGAAACAATAAGTTGCTGTAATTGTATTTTACTGTTCTAATAATTTTGTTCCTCTGTGCATTGCTGCTATGTTTTTCAGCAACTGAACAACAATCTTAAGGAATAGTTGTCCCTTTCCGGTCAATCTGTGTCATGCTAAAAGGTAATAGCAACTCCAGTTTAGCATCACATAGATTAGGGGTGTTAAAAAAGAGTATTAATCAGAAATTTGATCAGGACAGGTGAGTTAAATTCCCATATTTGTTTTTTCCAAGACAAGTCTAGGCTATTATAATGCTGCCTTTCTTCCTTTCTCAGTGTTAGAACAGCCACTGGGATAAAATAATTATAATGCCAAAACTAATAATTATAATACTCTAATATAGTAATTACAATTCCAAAATTTTATCTAGCTTCTTAACAAGCACCAGGCATATCTTTCCTCAGGGTTGAAGGTCAGGAGCAAACACGAGTCAGTCTCAGCTGCTCTCAGAAAGCACTGCTGGAGGTGGTGGCATTATTGTCCCAGAACAGCCTTCTTTATCACAAGACCGAGATTCTCTTACTACAGAAGGTAACAAAATCACAAAATTACTTCCTGTGAATGTATTACTTGTGTGAGCTGAATGCAGTAGTCAGTGGCATCACAGCTTTCCAGTGCTACCCCAGTGCTCCGAAATACAGGCATACGGGAATTTGAAGCCACACACATTTTCCAAAGCAATGAAACTATCTATGTGGTCTGTACTAATTCTTAAATCAGTTCCAATAGCTGGTGTAGTTGATATGTTACATTTGAGAACATCACATAAATACTTTTTTGTAAAGTTCAGTGTTGCTCCTGCAAACCAAATATACTCATCCTGTTAAAGTGTGGAAAGCAATGGAGTCAACTTTCTCACGGTAATTTAAATTTTTTTCAGCCTCTTCTTCCCCATACTGGAATGGGACGCCTGTGCACCCTGAGCGAGCCAGTCTCCTTGTCAGACATAATTGAGCGTGTCAAAGGCCACCTGCAGCTCCCCCACGTCCGCGTAGCCGTGGGAGCTGGCAGGACACTCGGTAAATGGGCCTGCAAGCCAGAATGCCTGCTAGGACTGGCACTGCAGGAACACAGGGAGCATGAGTGTGTGAACAACACTGGGAAACACTGCTGCCTTTACCACGTTTACCTCCAAGAACTAGGAAGCACTGTTAAGAAATAGCATCTTAGAATTTACGGTCACGTGAAGTCTCATCTGTATTTTAATCGGATTCCATAGTACGCTGGTTGACGTGGTAGAGACTGAACAAATTGAAGGAAAGATAGCATTTTTTGTAATTTATATAATGACTAAATTTTTTATTTTCCTGCCCAGGATATCAGGCCCAAAGGTGTACTGTTTCATTTTATGTTCCCTTTTGTGACTGAATGTTAAAATTCAGAGCACTCTAAGAGTAAGACAGTTTATGGTATCATGAACACAGAACTGTGTTTTGATGAAAGATAAGATAAAGAAGGTAAACTAACTCAAACAGTGGAGTCATTAGTAAGATGTGGTGTAAACATCCTCTTAATCCCAGCTACCTATCCTAATGTCCAAGGAACACAGCTGGTAGAATTTGTGAGAGTAAATTTGTTGAGACAGAAATCTTATTAGACTGACAATTGCACTAAAAAATATATGTCACTGTCATATATGTAATAGCTTGGAATTAGCAATCACAGCAAGTGGACAATTTTTATTGGCATCGAGCAGCTTTCAGCTTGCATTAGGACTGGCCCTCTGAGAGCTGAAAGGTAGGAACCAGTATATCTCAGAGGCAAAGTGCTGCCTTAGTGGCATTATTAGTTGGGAAGCTACTGGTGGTGGAACAGAAGAGTCCTGGAAAGAGTAGTGGCCTGCCTATTAGAGTTCAGAAACCTAACTAAGACCTCACTAGGAGAAAGGTTGCCAGCAGCCAGCCTCTGTGCTGGAGTTTTCTGCGAAGTTTCCTGTCCCTTGAAAAAAATCTACTTATCACAGAGGATTTTGCTGTATTGTCAGAGGTGTTATAGGCCCATGACTTTCAAACTGACAGATGTCTTCTCCAAAATCAAAGGTAGTAGTTAACTGACTCTAAAATCAAGGTAGTAGTTAACTGAAACAATTACTAGCAATACACACATGAGGGTTCAACAGAGGGGAAGGAGCTTGCTTAACTGTGGCACATTCTACCCTGCAGAATCACCACTGAAGAAAGTTGCTCTGTGTGCTGGTTCCGGGAGCAGTGTACTGAAGGGAACAGAAGCTGACCTCTATCTCACAGGTAACAGACTGCTGTTTCATTATTTTTATAAAAATAGTCATTAGAGAAAAAACAAACCCCAGCAATGACTGTTGAAATACTTGACTGCAAAGAATTACCTGTTATTTATAATTGAGAACCAATTAGTTAGCTATTGGAATGACAAACTAACATTAAAGATAACATGGATCAAACGGCAGTGTGGCACAGTGAAAGATACTTGAATTAAAACATTGCTTTACAGCATTTATTTCAACACAAAATCGGTGCTGATGGCAGCGAGTTGCAACTTTAAGTGTGTTTCTCCTTTGGCAACATGTATTTCCTCTATTCCCTACAGAATTCCCTAATGAAGAAAGAGAATATAATGTAGTGTCTACAGAGCCTTCCAAAGAAACTCTATGGTGTGTCTAGCCAAAGGGACACTTAGTCCATTATTCTCTCTTCTAGCAGTGGGACAGCTATTCCCTGTGGCTCAGCAATGTGAAGGCTGCCTTGCATTCTTGTAGGAATTGCTGCCCCTTTGCAACCCCTGCAGAGGTGACCCTCAGGCTTCCCAACTGCTTTCCTCCATCCTCTTCCAGACCACTCTGAGCATTTTTATTTTCTGCCCAAATTAGTGTAATTACAACCACTCAAAGATGGCAAGGAATTTCTGTGGTTTGACTCAGCTGCATACAGGGATATCAGCTGAGCCTTTCAAAGGACCCTGGGCCAGGAATGTTCCATGTTCCTACTGAGCAGATGGTGTTGCATTTCTGCTTATGGCCTACAATCCATTACATCACCACAGCTTTTAGCTGAGATGCTCCATACATTGCAGAGACCTGGTTACCTGAACTGTACCATTCATGATCTCTATGACATTTCTTTCTCAAAATGGCAGGAGAGATGTCCCACCATGATGTGCTGGATGCAGTTGCCAATGGGATAAGTGTTATTCTGTGTGAGCACAGTAACACTGAGCGAGGATTCCTGTCAGAGCTGCGTGACGCACTTGCCATCCACCTACAGAACAAAATCAACATCATTGTGGCTGAGAAAGACAGAGATCCTCTGCAAGTGGCATAGGGGGGAAAGATTGGAGAAAGAGAGAAAATTCAGTAGTGTTATCTTGCACAGACCTATCAATTGCAGAGCTTAATGAAGGTGCTTTCAATTGGTCCAGTACAGAATGTTATGGTCCCTCAAAGTCTGGGGTATATTCTGTCATGTCAGAAAAATAAAGGTTTGTTTTGGAATACCAACGGTATATTTACTTGATTAGTGGACTGTACTTGAATAAATTTACTGTTACTGTTTAATGTTATTAGATACAGTTGATAACCATGATACTCAAGGATTGGTTTGGGTAAAATATATAAAACCTGACTTCCCTCCAGTTCAAGCTTATGCAGCAGTTCTACCCTAGTACAGTTATGTCAAATCATGTCAGCAAGCCATTGATATTTTACCTAATAAATTTCAGAAATAGTAGTTAATGAAAGGATGGAGATGAACTGTTTGCATTAACAGTTGTACCAAGACACTACTCAGATGTAAATAAATACAGAACACAAAGCAAGTTGTTGGTACTAGTATTCAACTGCACAATCTACCACTAAGCTTTAAGGCTTTTCAAAAGAGGGACTCTCAATTCAAAAATGCTTTCAACCTTTCTTTGTAAGGTTGAAACTCAGTTCCTTAAGAAAGCTGAAAATTAATGTGCTTTTGTTATTTTAGAAACAGTTTCTGTAACTGTGGCTTTAATTACAGGATTACTAAAACTGAACAAGTAGCATTTTCACCATTGATAATGATTTTAAATTTCCAAGTTAGTTTTTTCTGTTGGGATTTTTTTTAAGGAAAAAAAACCCTCACAGTTGTGTACTCTACCATCTCTGGATCACTACAAATTTGTAAAGACGTTAGCCCTATCCTTTTAAGTTAATAAAAGTGGCTCATCAAGCAATGTCTTCATCTAATAACTGCATATCTTGTTCCACTTAAATGTATTCAAGTGGAAAGAGATGAGTGGTTTATCTGAAGCTACCTAGGCTACATAAAAGTCATCATTCTTACCAATATCATGAAGGCACTTCAGTATGCTGAGAAGTGAGAAGGAATTTCTCCTATCCCAAGTATAGGGAAAGGATTTATGTGAAGAATCACGTTGACAATGGGGTAGGCAGATGCTCTAGATTTCTAATACTGAAGTCAGGCCATACATCTCTCTCGCTTCTGTCAGTGAGGGGCAGATAAGGTACTATTGCTCCATGGGATGTTTTGGTTCTCTTCAAAAGCTATATACTGGTATTAAAAGGCAAGCAAACAATTCTTGATTTTGATATAAGAAACAATATAGAATATTTTAACTCAGTAGTTTGAAATCTTCTGCACAGATATTTGACATAATAATGAAAATGAGGCTTTAGCACAACTGCCACAAGGATCTCCATCTTCCTGTAACTTAGAAAGATTGTGAAAGACAAGACAAACTAATGAAAATTAAAAAGTACTTTATTTGATTGATTTGAACTATCACAACACTGAGCTGTAACACAGCTACCAAATATTAGGCATAGAGAGTCCCTGAAGTCTGGCTGGCAGACTATAGCTGATGGAACTATAGAGCTTCCTCCCACATAACTGAGAAAAAAAGAATTGAAGAAAATATGTCAAACTTCAGCAGTCTCCCATCCTTTAAGATCTTAAAAAAAGGGAGACCTAAGTGGCAATTAAGGCCTCCTCCAGGATCAGTGGGCACTCCTGATGTAAAAAATATAAATATACAATCAAGCCTTAAAAAAATAAACAAAAAACTTCATAGCCTCTTCATATTCCTGGACTGTACCTTGGAAAGTAGCAGGCAAAGACACGAGTCCATTATAATTTTGATTATCTAAATCTTATAAAAGGATGTTGGTTTGGGACAAGTCCTTCTGTTTATTGCCAGAATTTACTAAGTCACCTGCAGCATCCCAAACCCATTCATATTCTCCTTTCCTCATGCAATCAAGGCAGGTCTTGTAGCATTATAAATCTTGTCTTCATATAGTGAGCTAGTTTTGTCTAAATGGTAAAGGAGTACTGGATAGCACTCAGTTGAGAACATTTGCACCACTAGTACAAACTAAAGCTCTTGACCATCTTGTGATTTGCACTTCCCAAGTAAATTGCTCCAATAAAACCTTCATGTCTACTGAGGTAGAGAGCAGAAGGCACAATCTCACCAAGTTTGTTTTTCTGGCTATGAGGTTAGCTGCACAGATAGGAAGAAGGCATTGTCTGAGCTAAGAGACAAAGCAGACAAATCCAACTAGAGTGCAAGAGGGGCCTTGCTTACAGAAGTCATCATTCCAAACTACCTGAGGTAGTTGAACAACGAGCAAGATTCATTAGAATTACTACTTATCAGTGCAGCAGCTGTGAGGTTGGAGAGAGAGAGATCTGAGCATAGGCCCCTCTCCAGCAGCCATTGAGAGCAGTTGCTGTTGACACTGAGGAACAGATGTTACACATCTTCATCCTCTTTCTCTAAGAAGTCGGTCAAGGTACTGTCATCGACAGGAATTAGTAAGTATTCCACACCATCAGCTCCCTGGGAACAGACATGCACAGACATTGTTAACACCAGTGTACAGTGCCAGGCAAGCCACTAGACAGCACTGCAGTGCTAGCATATATATGCAGTCTGGATTACAGCGGGACAGCATTTTGAACTACATTAGCAAAAACCTGGAATATTTCACTGGAGCAACACAGGAAATGCACAAATACTGAGAAAAGTCACTATGTGAGAAATCTTCCGGTGGGTTATGTTTGTCTGATGCTACAAAGCTCCTCAACACTGTGTTCCTGTATCTCATACTGCTATACTGCCTCATTATTATGACAAGTCTGCATTATTATAGAAATATAGGTAATACTATTGGAAGCAGACTGGCAGGCTCCATAGTCTGCTACTTCTCACAGTCTTCAGAAAGAAGACCTGGAGGTTGCTGAATAACCAAAGCACACTGTGTTTCTACTGTCCTCTATCCATGTAAAGGGTCTTGACAAATTGGAGGCATGGAAAGAGCTGCAATTACAGAATTTCAGCCCCTTGCCAGTTCCTACGTGCTTAAAACAATACAGCAAGTAAGCATTCTTCTTATTCAAAGTGCTGAGTAGAATTTTTCCCTGGACTCACCCGCTTGGTCCGGATGAGCTTGTGGTCCCTGAATTCTGTCAGCTGTGCCCTGAGTGTCAAGTCACTGTTCACAAGGAAAGCTTCCCGACACTGCTGGTAAAAGTCTTGGAAAGACAGCCCTGGAGACAGAAAAAGGTAAGAACAAGAAACTGAAGTAGTAAAATTGTCCGATTTTCCAGGTCTAACACCACATATTATCCACTTGAAAGTCTTGCTTTGGCTTAGACCAGAGTGGCTACAGTATCATCACCTCTTGCAAGTGTACAGCCAAGGTAATACTTCAGTAATTAATGGAAAGCAGCTGAATTAACATTCAAGTTACCCTGCTGCCTAAAGGAATTTTAATAGCACTTTAAATGCACTTTGTTAATTTCTCTTAATTTCCAACTCCTCTATCTTGCTTTCTTTACCATTAAAATGTTATTAATATCCACTGCAACACCTATTACAGTGACAAAATATTCCACATGTATCCTAGAAAGCAGGGTTACACTAGAAGTCATTTATATAGGACATTTAAGAGCAAGTTACACAAATTCAGTCTTCATTTTATTTTTTTACCTCCACAGACCCCCACCAACAGTCATGTCTAAGCATGTAAAAGGCAGTCCTTCAGAACCAGCCAGTCTATTGATTTCCTGTCTGAGTCAGACACAGTGCCAACTAGATAGCCAGTGAGCCTCACTGAGCCAACTGCTCGAGCTATTCTGTCACTGGAAATGTAACCTGCGTACCAAAACCCAGGGCTGCTGTGAACAGCAACACCTCAAATGGATGAGAAAAGGCGAGTACTTACCTGGATAAGATGGATTGTCCTTTTTCTCCAGCTGGTGCTGAGCAAGCAGTCTGAATATCCCTCTAAGTGAAAGGAGGAAAGGGGAAAATCAAAATAGTAGTAATTAAAGAACAGCCCAAAATTCCCACCATTAGAAAATATTAACTAATTTTGCTTAATGCACAAAGACCTGGTTGTGAATCTCATCACTGGACAAGGCTTTCTACCCAAATGCTGCTCATTTAAAGTAACCGATCAGCTGGAACCCAGGTCCTACCATTTTGGTCTGGAACAATATTATCAGAAAACACAGATTGTAAGGACTGGGTCCTTGGCAAGTGCTACTGTGAAGTGTAATAGTGTCTTACCTGGCATTGAGAGTGAGGCTATGCAGGACATGCATTAGGGAGCTCAAAGCCAAAGATCCAGACTGTTGTACTAAAAGCGAGTTCTCATAAGATGTTTCTTCCACATAAGGACTAAATGTGGTTGTTTCATACCAAAGCCAGTTATAGAGACTCAGCTTTGCCTGATCCCACACTAGACAGAGAGAACAGAAAGAGCAGACAAAACCAGGAGATTTATGTTTTCTAAGGTGTTAAACAAGCAATATTAAAATGCATGTAGTTCTGCTGTAGGATTGAAGAAACAATATATGCTTGTGAAATTCACATTACAGACACCCTGATAACTGCAGTTCCAGTAAGATTAATTCTCAGCAACAAAACATTTGCAGGCATCCCTTTTCCATGGATACATGGTACATCCTTCCAGAGTCAGGAGTGTGCACACAATTTCTGGCTGTAGCTGGAAGCTCTACCTAGAGGGCATGAAATATCTGAAGTGAGACCCTTCTCAGAGTGTGTGGAGATTCCACCCTTGAGTGGGGACACCCCTCAAGGTTACTCCTCCAGGCTGAGATAAAGAGATATGCCCATGGCTGTTGGTATGGGTGAGTAACATCAATCTCTACTTGTATGGTTTTTGCTAGCTTTAATATAACTGCTTCAATATTGCTTTAAAAAGAGTGAATTATACTAATTGTTACAGCTACTTGTGCTGCGTAGAAATAATTCTGATTAGGATCTTTTAGTCTAATCATAACAGTAATCAATATAAGTAAGTTATTTATTTAAGTATATTTGCTTTGCCATCCTTAATTTTGTGGGACGAAAGTTCAATTACATCTATACAGTCCTTTAATATAAACCATCAACTAAATCTGGGGCTAAGACTGGGTCCAACCACACCTACATCCTGTCTGAGAAGGAGTTTAGAAAGGAAGGGGCTACCTCCTGGTTCAACAGGAGGGCTTCTCTAATAAATTTTGTCTGAAGCTCCCATTCTGCCCACAACACTGACCGATAAAAGAAAATTGTTTTAGATGCAATGACAGACATAACATCCAATCTCCAGTTCAGTAAGTTCCTAAAATCAAATGGTGCCAAAAGCTTGGAGTCTATTTGTATATTATGATTTGTGGTATTTCTCAGTATCTTTACACAGTTCTGGTTCAGCACAGACACACTCCCAATCAGAACTATACATACATCAACAGATCTGTTCTACACATCAAAAGTAATGCATACTAATAGTAGTAATATATAGTAAGTAATAC